AGTATTAACACCGGAGGCACTGCATCGCTGCATCAACGATGAGGAGTGCAAGGATTGGGTGCATCGCGTAAGTTCAAACTAATTCGAATCAACTCCAAGTGGCTTACCAAGTGATTTGCAAATATAATAGGAAATTGTGGCCGCCTTGAACTCCAATTGCAACATAATTCCCATCATGGATCAGCAGTTCACGTGGCCGGAGAACCTGCCCGAGGACATGTGCAGTGTGGCGCACTTTAACGGCGTCAGCTGGATACACGACTACCAGGATGCGTGCATCGATAAGCTCGAAAGGTATATTAACGGCGCATTTAGGACTAAATGGATGATGACCAGATAGTGCTTAAATCTCTAGTTAATCAATTAATTCAATTAATTTAAACAATTATCTAATGCGCAAACTCAATCTCAATACATTCCCAACCTTAATTTCCCCCTCTTCCCGGTGCGGCAGATTTTTGCGCGGCGAAAAGAATATCGATCGCATTGCGGCGATGGCGCCTGGTACCCCCGGCGTGGTGTCATACCAAAGAATGCACAGCAATGATTCCGACTATCAGCAGAGTGGTGGCAATGGCGGAGGTGGAGGTGGAGGTGGAGTCGGTGGCGGCGTCGGCGGTGGCGCGGGCAGTGTGGTGGATGGCCTAATGACGGCCAATTGCAGCGGACAAGGTGGGCCAACGAGTACAACTACTACAACCAATCAGAATCAGAATCCCAATTCGAATTCCAATTCGAGTTCGAATGCGAATCAAACCCAGCTACAGCGTAGACTAGGCCATCGCGAGCACTTAGGCTAGCCTCGAATATCCCCAGCTATGATTAAGCACACACACAAACAGAAAAAAAACACACAAAAAAAAAAAGAAATTCTCAACCCTCAACAAAGTCAACCTCAAGATCAACTCGTTAAGCGAAGAACTGTTATACTGGCAGAATGCTGCCAAGGCATAGCAGTTCCTATAACTCTCTCTTTAGTACACACACACACACACAAACACGCACACTTACCATCTCACTCACTCTTCTTCACACATATACCACATCTCTTTCTCTCTACTTTACTCTACTCTAAAAACAAACAAGAAACAAACCAACTTAATTAATAATTAATTTAATTTTGATTGCAAACTCGAAACTCGATAATTCACGAGCAGCTAATCACCAGGCAAATAGATACCGGCAATCCCCTTCACCGGCCCGCCAGCGCGGCAGCACCTCCCTATTGAGTTATGGGCGTGGCCAGGCGAAACGGTCCAACATTCTACCACCATATCGCACACAGCAGGCGGCGCTGCTCCACAAATCCGGCGCCGGATCCGCGTCTATGCAAAATATGACTCCGCTGGCCTATTTGCCGCCGCGTCGCAGCTCCGCTGCCGGCCTGGGTCACAATGCCAGCGTGGCCAATGGCTATCGCTCGCACAGCGTGGACGGCCTGCTGGATAAGGCGGCGGCGGCCGGCAGCCAGGATAGCTTGAGCACGCCGGAGCAACGTATTGCGGCAGCGGCAGCTATGGTTGCCGCTGGCAGTACGGCGCTGACCAATGCCAGCTCGACGAGCACGCTGCAGCCAGATGAGGATGAGACGGAGGATGCGGATGCGGAGGCGGCAGCAGCCGCGGATATGTGCCATGTGACGCGACGCGAGAAACAGACTCTGGCGCCGCCCAATGTGCAGCAGCATCGCAAGTCGCGCAGCCTGGACCACATATTGTCCAAGCAAACGCTGGCCGAGCTGCTGCCGCCCAGCGAGCCAGCCGACGAGACGCAGAGCATGCAGAATCTGGCATTGCCATTGACGCCGCAGCCGCAGCGACGCGATACGAGTTCCTCGTCGAAATCGCCGACGCCGGAGCGACCACCGGTGCCGCAGCGTGGTGGCGTCTATAATCGCCAGAGTCCCGACGGCGTCAGCTCCACGGAGAGCGAGCGCGAGGATGCGCAGTCCGTGAGATCGCAAACGCAATCGCAGCATGGCAATCAGCAGCGGGCGGCGGCGCATGTGCATCGTGGTGGCAGTCAGAACAGCAATAAGACGTCCAACTCATCGCTGGGATCGAACAATAGCGCCAACAATAAGACGATATTTAATCGTACGATGAAAAAAGTGCGCTCTCTGATCAAAAAGTAAGCAACATGCAGCTGAGAAAGGCGAAAAATGCGTTCGTCAAATCATTTGATCGCTACTTCTACTAGTTACTCGCTACTTCCATTCGTTACTTCCTAATATTGCACACACTTACTTTCAACTGACTCATCTCGTTTGAATAACGTCTTTCACTCACTTATGTTTACTCGCTACTCGCTACTCGCTACTCGCTGCTCGTTACATTTGTGCCATTTAAAACGAATCTCATGCATCAACATTAATCACTCACACAAACCATTCCCTGGGCCACACTACCCCTCGCTCGCTCTCTCTTTCTATTCCACTGTGTGTCTCAATCTCTCTCTCTCCCTGTCTCTCTCTATATCTCTATGTGGTTATGGTATTCGCTCGCTATCTCTACTTATCTCTCGTAGCTCGTTGTTTCAACTCGTCAAGCTAAGCATCCACTAAAACTTGCCTGCGTTGCCCGAAACAACTTCTTGAACGCACCCTCTTACAGTCCAAAGCCAATATCTATTTGCCTTGTGATTAGTTGTTTTTTTTTTTCATATATATGCAAACAAACAAAAAAAAAAAAAAAACGAATTTAAATTGCAAAACTAATTTATGAATTATTATTAACGACTGCATATAAAGAAAACATAATTTATGAAACTAATTTTAAACAAAAGAAACAAAAAATACATAAAAACTCTATTAATTTTAGTCTACGATTAATATTTATTATCAAAAATTGTAAATTTTCTTTTCAAATGCAATTTTTTTCTTGTAACCGTCCGCAAAATCAAACAAAAAAAAAAAAAACTTCACAACAACTCAATAAGTGGCTTCAAACAAAAATATTTAAGTGATATTTAAACTAAATAAAAAATAATCGAAAACTTTTTAAAGTAACAAAACAAAAGCAAGAAGAAGAAAAACCACCCAGAAACTATGCTGTACAATATTTTAATTTTAGCAAAAGAGACTTAAGGCATAATTTTATTGATTTTTGCAATATATAAATATAATAATTAAATAGTGCCTAAAATTGGACTAGATTTAAATAAAATGTGAATTATTCAAATCAATTGTGTATTATTGTCCCAAAAGGTCATGACCCTGCTTTATCAGCCATTCCTTTCATTCGCATGTTCATTTTACGTATTCCTTGTATGTGTTTTTATTATTTCTATTTTGTATATTTATGTTTTAATGTTTTGTTCTTGTCTAATATTCGTTTGTTTAATGTTTGTTTGTGTTGATTGTGAATAATGCAATGCTAATTAAATTCTACCTTAATTGCGACCATCTACTTTTTTCGATATTTCTTTTTCTCTTTTTTTTTCTTTCTCTTCAAATTTTATTTGTAGACCATAAATGCGCATTTTTGTACTTGTTGTTATTGTTGTGCCTGTGCCTGTGCCTGTGCCAGCACCTGCCCCCCCTGCACATACCCGAATCGAATTCAAGAACCTACTCATCACGCCACATCCCGAAATCCGTCAACATATCACTGGGTGATCCGTCGTCCAGCTGTCCAGTTCAACAACAACAACCACAACAACAAAAACAGAAACATTCATTGTTATTTATTACAAAACTAAAACTAAAATCAAACACAACACAGCGAATAAAATAATCAATAAATGTGTGTACTACACAAATCAGACTAATTAAATGTTTCTTCCATCTTAAACTAATTTGCTCGCAACAAATAATTATAGTAATGAATTGGAGGACGATGAACTGTCGGATATTATCCTGTCGAAGGCAACGTCCCCAAATGCTGGCCGCATGATATTTTGGTAGGCGCACAAGCACTCAGACGAATTTTGAAAACTTGTAAATAATACTTGTAGAAAAAAACACGAATTAAATATACTCTACGTCAATTGAAACGGATTTCTACGGACTTCTTTTGTGAGAAACGCAGTAGGTTGTGCATTTTGGTTGCCTGTCAGAGAGCTAAGCAGTCGCTTGTACTGATTTTTAGTCGGAAATAATATTTCGTTACGTTAAGGTACATTTTTTGTGAAAATAAGAAATTTAATTTTTTAATTTTTGTATATGTTGTACAAAAGTTGCATATTGTAATGGGCAAGTCATTAGAAACAAATGCCATGTTGGTCGTGGACCCTGCTGATGAACTAGTTCTCGAAGGACCATTCAACCGTGCCGTTTGCAAAAAAATTTTGGTATTTAATCCAAACAAACTGAGTCGCGTTTCATTTAAATTGAAGACGACCACACCACGCCTGTTCTTCGTGCGCCCCAATGTGGGCCTGGTTAAACCGGAGGAGCGGGTCGCTATTGACATATTTGTCCATCCCATATTTCCGGATACTAACGCGCAGCGTCATAAGTTTCTGATGCAGGCCGCCGAGTGTAATGAGCCAGTGACTGATTTGCACGAGTTCTGGCGGAACGTAAATCCGTCAAGTATCTGGGATACCAAAATCAAAGTCAAATTAATCGATGTTAAGGAAGGAGTACAAAATGTACGCGAGCCTGATACAGGCAATACCATCGGGGAGCATCAGGAGAAGGATGGCACTGATCCAATGGCAAAACTTCTACAACAAGTAAACGAGCTGGAAGAGGAGCGTCAACATTTGGTGCAGCAGGTCGAGACGATCTCCAAGCAAAAGGAGGAAGAGAAAACCTTATTGTGCAAGCAACTGGGGCAGCAACAAGGAAGATGCTTCTTTTTTTTCTTGGCCACTTTTTTTGTGTTGATAGCTGCTATAACCGGCGGCTATGTTGGCAAGAACTTCATGTAAACCTCTCACATTAAAGCAAAGGGATTAAATACAAAATGTTTAAGCTGCTATTGGCAAATAGAAAACAATTTAAACGGCCCATTTAAATGCGCCAATTGTTTACGTGTGTACACACTGCCAGTTGCGCAACACTGGCTGCACAGCGTTGCCACATCTCCAAACTGAGCAGAGCTGTGGCAACACCTTTGTTTACGTGCACCTTAGCAACGAGCGCTTGGTACGCTTCATTTCATATTTAAATGTTTTATTTGTGAACTCGAACATAATTTAGTTGTAAATCGCCATGTTTGAGTTATGAGTGATACCGATACGGACGACACCGATCTGTTGTTGCTGATACCGCCCAATTACTATACGGACACGGCAGAACGCTTGCTGCGGGAGGCCAAAATGAGCGCAGACGCAGCAGATGCACTTGCCATGCCTCCGCCACCGTTGCCAGCGTCGACAACAGCTGCGTATCAGTTTCTGTTGCCCAGCAAAAAGTCGGAACTGAATCAAATTAATGCGCGACTACAAAACATGGAACTGGAGCGGGAGCGGGAGGATGAGCGACGATTTGATGCACCCTCGGATATATCCACAATTTCGTCGAGTACAGTGCGCACAGCGCTAGGCAGCAGGCCGCAGCGCGAGCAGCACGGCATGGTGCACTCGACACCCAAGAGTGGCTCAGTGGAACCGCCACGAGGTCGTCGCAATGAGGATAATATACTGCTGGAAATCGACAATTATCTGGATGACCACAATGCCTGGCAGCAACAGCAGCAGCAACACCACAGCGATGACCACTTGCGCTTGCGCGGTTACTCGGCTCAGGTGCAGGACTCGCAGCCAACTGCTACTTCATTGCCAAGCATTCGGCTGGGTGCATCGGCATCCATTGCCAATGACAAGCTCATCAGCCTCAGCGAGCTGTGGGGTAAAAGCAATCTGGCAGGTACTGTCATAGCTAGCAACGTGTCGGCGCTGCAGGGCAGCCCTTCACTGAAGGAGGAGCAGCTGCGGCGGCAGCATTTGGAGAAAATGGTACAAACGCTGCAGACACAGTTGTTGGAGTATCAGCAACGCATCTCGGTTGCCATTGAGGTGGATCGTTCAAAGGACACAGCCTTGCAGCAGGCAGACCAACAGCTGAAGACGCTCAACTTTGAGGTGCAACATCTGCGGGACACGCTGCACAGGCTGGAAACGGAGCGTAACGACAATCATAGCAGATGCGATGCACTGCAGAATGAGCTCTCGCAGGCGGTGGGCTTGGCCACTAAGTTTCAGGAGAAGACCGAGAAGTTGGAGGCAGAACTGGAGCGTTGCAGGCGACAGGCAAATGATACAGTACAAAAACTGGAGCAGCTGGAGCTGCAGTTGCAAAGCAGCAAACGTGCTGAGGAGCTGTCGCACGCCGAGCTGAACAAGCTGCGAGACAAGTTCGCCAAAGTAGACTATCAACAGGAAAAGGTATAGTTGAATCGTGTACTATTTGTTGGGTCCCTAATAAGAATTTTCCTACCTACAGCTGAAGTTGCGTGTAGAGGAACTGGAAAAGGACAACTCCACGCTGCAACATCAGAAGGAAATGCTGCAAGAGTATCATCAGAAGCAAAAGACGCGCGCAGATAATCTCGAGGCGCAGCGAAAATCCTTGCAGGAGACACTGGCCAATCTGACCGACATTGAGGTATTCCCAAGCTTCTTAGTCTGTGCAATTCATTTTTTGAAAGAAATGGTTTCTTTTCCAGACGCATCTCAAGAGAAAACTGGAGGTTCAGCAGAAATCACTGAAGCAACACTATCAGCAGCAAATGGAAAATGTTGTTGCCAAAAAACTGCAAGAGTTCCAAACGCAGCTGGACAAGTCGGAGGAGCAGCTTAAGGCTGAGGCACGCGAGCGTGAACGCCTCATAGCTGATCGTGCGGTCAAACAGCTGGAGATGATCAACGAAAAGAACAACCAAGAGCTGAATCTCACGCAGGAGAAGCACAACGAGGAAGTGGAACTGTACCGCCTGCAGCTGGCAAATGCATCAAAAAACATAGACGAGCTGGAACTCAAGCTCAGCACCTATAAGACAAAGCGGTAAAGCAGATTTTATAATTTATCTGATATACACATATTTATGTAAAAGTTTTAGTGCGGACATTGCGGAGAAGCTGCATGGCGTAATGGAAGCACAGTGGCAGCAAGCGCTGGCCATACTTACCTCACCCAATCACACATTTCAGCTGCCCGGCGGTGAAACGGACAGCGAATCGCCAGATCTGAACAATGCCCGTCACTACCCAGATACACCCAAATCGAGCAAGACACAGCGCAGCAATAATACCGAAAAGAACAACTTGGATGCGGTGGCCAAAAAAGATCCACCATCGCCCATGGACAAACTGCAGGCATACATTGAGTTGTTGCTGAGCAAATCCCCAAGTGATTTCGATAAACTCGATGAGATTCTGGGCATGAACGCCAGACAGAACACCAAGCCACAAAAGCGTAACGCCAGCAGCGGCTCCAAGCCACCGCCCTGGAAGTCCTGACATACAACCGATTGTAACTATATTAATTAGTTTCAAAGTCTGAATTTATATGTAGCCACATGGCTAGTGGCTTTTATTTTTATACACCCTTTTACTTAGAAGTTTTAAAAGTAAATTGTTTAATTTTTGCAAAAACTTTATTGCTTATTGATAATATCAACAATTGAAGGCAGCGCTGCGCAAATAATATTCAAAATGAGCAAACTATGTGGCATAGTTTGTCTTGATATATAAGGTTGCCATAAGAAAAAACAAATTGGATAAATTATAAAGTTATTTGGTAGAAAAATGTATTTGAACAGCTTTATGAACCTATGGCTATAAAACTAATACGTGTAGATATACTTGATCGAGCCCAGTCCTTCTTAGTTACATATAGATATCCATGTGACTTAAGCCCAATTTAGTTTTGATTCATCAGCTACTCTGTTTTATGTGTCTGTCATTGATATGCTTCGAGTTTAGTTGCCATTGAGTATGTCCCTTCATTTATAAACAATTTGCGGAAATTTGGGCGCGTTGCCGTATAGGCCCTCCGATTCCCAGACCTGTATGTGGGAATCCCGTGTTAGTACCACCAAATGCTGGTGCGTGGAGTAACTGATGCTGCAAGCCAAGAAGTTTATTATAATCAATTGTTAAGTTAATGTAGCAATTTAACTTACCTGCGTATGGGCGATGTGCCGGTGGTTATTTCACTGACAAAACTCAAATTCCAACTGGACCAGAAACGCACAAAGCCGCCCTCCATTGCGGTGGCTATGACGTTGACGCCAACGCCCTCCTTGATGTAGGAATAGCATACGGCTTGGATGCGATCCTCGTGCACCAGATGCTGCACATAGCGCGCATTGACCGAGTGCAGGCGCAGTATGGACTTGCCATTGGGATTGATATTGACATTGACAAAATCATCCAGACTCTCCTCAGTTACCTCAAAGCATTCATCCGCTGAGCTCGGCTTGGCAATCGCTGCAGCTGGTGACTGTACTGCATTGGCGTTTGTGAGCTGTTGAGGCAGCGTGTGCACGGTGACTATGTCGCCCAGTGTGGGACTGATGGCCGCGTGCGTGATGGGCGATTGATGAATCTCCGCAGGACGTGCAATGGTGCGCACATAGCTCCAGCTGAATTAAAGCGATTAGTAAGTGAATTCGTTTAGCTAGCGAGCGACTTACTCGTTGAGATCCCAAATAACGGCAATGCCATCGCGTCCGGCTGTTACCGCAATCTTAAACTCCACGGACAGCGCAATGCATGTGATCTCATCCGTGTGCCGCACCAGCAGTGTTGGACCCAACCAGCTCAGATCAGCGCCATCACGCTGCTGCGCATCGCCGTTGCTGGACCCACCTGAGGAGGCGACCGATGTAGTCGAGTGTGTGGCATGCAGATTGCCTGAATCATCGGTTGCTTCGTTGCCCGTTCCTGAGCCCGTGCTCTTGGTCGTCATCTTGCGAAATGCTGAATTGTAGGAAAGCCGCAGGCCACGCACATAGCTTTGTCGGCTCTTGGTGCTCGCGCGCTGTTGGGCCTCCACGCCGCTGGTGCACTTGTAGACACTAATGCGTCCGGATTTGTGGCCAAACCAGAGCTGATTGCAGTTCACATCACAGCCGCAGGCGCTGATGTCATCAAAGCTGCCATTGTGCAGCAGGTTCTTGGGCTTGGCCTGCGGTTTGTTTAGCGGCTGGATGCGCACAATGCGATCATCGTATCCCCAGGATATCACATTATAGGTATCCGGCTCGGCGCCCTGCATGACGCCAGCGCGTGCCGGCAGTGCATAGACCACATTCGTGTTGCTGAAGCTAACGAGATGCTCAGTGCCGGGTATTTTGTGTATATTGGCCCACGATGGTGCCTTCAACTGCGGCGAACCCACGTAGACGCCCCAGCGCAGACCTTTAACACTGGACACAATGGGCGTGTCCACCAAAGCATAGTCCAGCGCCTTGGTGGGGGGATGTGGCGACCTGAACAGCTGCCGGGGCATTTGGCCGTACGTCTTAACCATAGTCTTGACCGCCTCGCGTTCAATGGGATCGCTAATCTCCGAGTCAAGGAAAACTGCATAGGTCTGAAAAAAGGCAGGCATAACAGTGGAATATTGGTATTCAGACTAGTTCAAACTTACCGCTGGATGAAACACATTTATGGCCTCCACGGCGCTCTCGCCAGTTTGCTTGTAGCCAAATATTAGATCGATCCAGTGATGCAGCTCGTTGCGCACCAGCTCCGATTCCAGCGCCTGTCGATGTATGAGCACAAAGAGACGTGAATCACGCTGAGACCATGCAGGAAGTGTAACATCTTCAACCCTTTCGCCATTCTGACGGCAGCCGAAATTGAAGCGCTCAAAATTCTCAAACATTTCAGGCAAGCAAAAAAACTCAGGTATGAGCTCCTTGACATCCGTGGGACTGTCCCGGCTGGCCAGGCAATAGGTGGTATTCAGAGCATGAAATGTGCGATCCGGCAGATCAAAGTTGTTATCTTTTCAGGAAAATAATGTAATGATCAGTGCAATAAGGGTTACTTGGTCAGCGTGCATTACCTTGATAGCGCAGAAAATAGCTGGTAAAAGGCGGCACGCGCACCAGAAAGTGCAGCACAGTGCCAGAGTTGGAGTAGTGGGAGCTGTAGTGATACGGCTTCAAGATCAGTGAGCCCATGTTGGTATTGGTGCTATTGATGTACGCATAGTTGCTTATGTAGTGCTGTTCATTTTCCTCCAGCTGCACAGCAATGGGTCGCGATAGTCGCCGGAAATTTTGCGCTTGGCGCAAGTCCAAGCACTCGGACTTGTAGTTGGCCAGCACCCAGGGAAAGACTGGGTACTGCATGAGATCGTTGTAGGTGCGTCCAGCTATTTGGTTGAGTGTCATCAGATACTCCCAATTGGTTAGGAGGCCCTCGCGCCATTGCTGCGTGATGGCCAGCACTTTGGCCTTGTCCGGCATGTTTACAATTTTATCACAGAATACCTCGCGCATGATCTTCCAGTCGTCGGCGTTTTGCAGCGAAAAGAACAACGATTTGTTGCTGTCGAGCATTATTTCGAAGGCCTTCTCCTGGTGCTGGTAGCGCTTCAGCCAAATTTCAGTTATGTTCGATATATCACAGTTCACATTAAAGTATTTACAACGATATGTGGCCAGAAAATATAGCTTCAGATCGGTTATAATAATCTCGCCATCGATCTCACCATCGACGGGCAAAAATTTCGCCGCAAAATTATAGAGTATTTGCGAGTTGAGCGATATGTTCAATTGCTGATCGTAGCTGGCTATTAAATAGTCCAGTGGACGCACATACTGATCCAGCTCCCCACGCTGACCCTGCCCGGGGCAGTAGTCGTTCATGAAGAACCGCCGATCAATATCTAAATGGCAGCGTCGCAAACGCGTGTGCACGCGCGATGGCCCCTCCGTGTCGTCCAGTTCCCAGGAGCTGCAATAATTAAAATTGGCTGAGTAGGGATATGATGGACAGCGCATTCACTCACCACTCGGCACGTTCGCTGCAGTGCCAGGGTGCCCCCTCGTGCGTCATGCGGCGTATAATCTCCAGCCATTTGGTGTAGGTGTATGTGTCATCGTAGTCCTTCATGTGGCACATGAGCAGCTTGCGTTCCGCATTCTATAACGTAGTCAAGCCAAAATAAAGGTTAAATTAGTTGCACGTTCAGCATATCAGAGCTACACATTCACCTGCAGCTCCGCCACGCGCCTGGTGGTCACCATGGAGGTGTCAATGCAATGCTGCACCAGCGGCTCAAACTTGTAGAGTGTCTTTTCCAGGAGCTGTTTCTGCTTAGAGGCTACACTGCTGCGACTCAGCTCCAGGCGCCCCAGCTCATGCTCCAGATTCCACGTGGAGTCGTTCTCATTGATGCCCAGCGCCTTGCACAAGCGCGACAAATTCTCAATGGGTGGCTTAACATCCTCCATCAGGCTAAGCCAGAGCAGCGCTTTGATCATCTTAACATCACAAACAATCGCCGACTGAAACTCATCATGGCACGTGCGCCACAGGGCATCGACAATGTAGGCGCGCAAGTCGCGCGGTCGCGACGGCTGCAAGCCCCAGGCAATGAAATTGTTGCAGCGCTGATTGTTGGCTATGCCGAAGGAGACGAGCAGCTCGAACAGCGCCAGTTCCTGACTGCTGGCCACGTAGCTGCTGCCATTGGTCTGACAGCCGCTAGTCGTAAAGAATTGTGTGCAGCGATCAATAAGCAGCTCCATGCGCGTGCGGCACTCCGCCTGGTTGAGCGAGCAGTCGGGTAGGCTGCTGCGCAAGCGGTAGCCATGGTGTCCGCCCGTGCCGTTGCAGGCCTCGAAGAACAGATTGAGCCATTGCAGCTGCAGCTGGGCCTGCACCGCGCGAAAACTGCGCACAATCAGCGGCGGCTGCTTGTCTTGGTAGAAGGACAGCATATTGAGTATGTCCCAGACCAGCTGTAGATTAGACTCGGACTTAGATGATGACCACAGCTAACTAGGGGCAGCTACTCACATTGATTTGTCCCACAGATTTGAGCGCCCGCTCGCCAATGCCAGCCAGTAGCTCCACAATGGACTGATCCATATTGGGCTGACTCAGGCGCAGCGTATATAGCTGATGCAGCGCCTTGACGGTGCACTGCAGCAGGCCCGCCTCTACGAGACACAGCTGTTCATCGGGATTCTGCAAAATGGATCAGGCATTAGCGCTAGCTTCAGTACGTAAAGCAGCAACACATTTACCTGAAGATAGAGGCGCAGTAGCGCTTTGAAGACACGTTCCGGCTCCGTGCTCCAGCTGCTGTTGCCCATGGCCATTGAAATGGCCAACAAGGATTGCAGGCCGAAGCGCTGGCGAATGCCCAAAGTAACCTCAGGGCTAAGCATGTCAGTGAGACTGCCGTGCAGGTCGCTAATCCAGCTCAGACACGCCTCAAACATGGCCACATCGCTGCCATGAATGGTCAGCTGATTGGCCAGATGCAGCGGATACAGCTGCTTCGAAGCGGCAACAAGTTCCGCTGCGCCCAGACGTTTGGTCAGCACCGCCAGCAGCTGGATGATTGCGGTGCGCACGGCGCAGCTGCGTTGATTGGCCAGCACCAGCAGGAACTCTAGCTTGACATAGTGACGCAGTACCTCATCCACGGCAGAGTCTGGCAGCAGGCACAGGAAGTCCTTGAGCAGCATGAGCAGTCGCTGCTGCAAAGTCACAATGCCCGCCTGATCGTAAAAGTCAGTTTTGCGGCTGGGCAGCGGCGCCATGTGTGTGGAGCTGGGTGTGCTGTGGATCGAGGGCTGCCAGAACTTATTCGGATGCGAATGTAAGCGTCTACGTGCGACCTTCAGGGGACTGCGCTTGGGGCTTTGACAGTTACTGGGATGACGGCGTTTAAACTTGAGACGCCAGCGGGATGCCTCCACCGGGCTCAGTAGGCGCAATGCGGTCTTGTTGAGATTGGAGCAGTCAGCCATGTGCTCCAATTGGTCCTCCATTTCGTTGAGAGCTCGTTTGTAGCTGGACTTGGAGTCGTGCAGCCGACGCAGGCGACGAATTCGTTCCGCGCGCTCTGCATCTTGTTCTTGGACAGGCGTCTGTGCCTGCCGCCGAAAGGAGGTGGTCACGCGGCTCAGATTGGCGGCTACCAGTGAGCGCTCCTTCACAGGCATCTGTGGCGTCAGCAGAAAGTAAAAATACGCACGATCATGCGTGACATAACATTCGCTGGGTCTGTGCAGCAACAGCAGCAGCTTCATCATCTCGTCAAGCAGCGAGGGCGCTGGCGGAGAGCCCGCAAAGACGGCCAAAATCTGTACAAAACATTCGGCAGCATAGGGCGATATGTGCACCGGACTGGGCGACTCAATGACATACACCTTGCACAGATTGAGCAGCGCACGCAGCAGGCCACATTTCTGTAGCTGTTCCATGTTGAAGTCCCGCTGCGGATGCTTGTCCCGGCTGAGAGCCAATATGCAGCGGAACAGCATGTCCAGCACATCCGAATGGGTGGCGCCCGAGCGATGCCAGTCCGAGTAGCGCTGAAGCACAGCCAGCAGCAGTCGCGGATAGATCAGGCTGGCCGTCGTGTTATCGTTCACGTGCAGCACATCGCCCTTGCGACTAATTACAGGCTGCGAGCAGGCATTATTCACAATGCTGCGCAGCAGTTGCACATCCTTGGAGCAGCGCTCCGATTTGATGACATAACCAATCAGTGCTAGATAATCCTGGCGCAGAAACTCTGTATACAGCTGGGCATCCGAGTGGGCCAACTGCAGCAGCAAGTCCAGCGCCAAGGCTTGTGTGTTGGCTGTGCCCGATAGCTCCACAATCTGTATGGAGAGAGTAGGTTAGTTTAAATTGGATTTGAGTAGAGCTTAACGCTTACCCTGGCAAAGAGATACAGCATGGTGGAGAGACCGCCACTGAGCAGCACCGCCGTTTGAAGTGTCTGCGGCTGATGCTGCAGCAGCTCGCCGTAGAGCATGTGCCCCTGCGGCTGTCCATAGCAGGCCATGTCCAGCTCTTGGCTGACGTCATGGCACATGACCAGATCCGGCTGCTGTGCTGTATAGACCAAAACACGCGCCTGTCGCAGCACCTTCATGCAGTCCGCATGATTCCCAATGTTGGAAGTGGACAGCTTGCCCAGTTGCACGTATCCATAGTTGGGCTTCCAGTTGGCCACCTGGCACTGGGTGAACTCGGTAAAGTCCGGTCCCATGGCTGTTAAATTAAGCATTATATGGCGCTCGGCCAGGCGACGCTTGAAGAGCACCAGATTGGACAGCGCATAACGTGGTGCACCGCCATCCAGCGTTGAGCGTGAGGAGCTACTATTGCTATTGCCAATCTTGCCCGGCACACCCTCGCCCACGGCCAGCAGTTGGAAGCTGTGAGTGCGCGATGCGAAACGTAAATTGTGAAAGGGCAGAGTCAGCGTCTGCTGCTCCAGGCCATCCAAAAAGACGCCGATCTGTAATCCAGCCGCCTGCTGCTGCAGCGCAAACACCAGATGCGTCCATTTGTTGCGTGGCAGACGCAGCTGCTGCAGCTGCACGCTGGCGCCCTCGAAGTAACCGCCGCCGCCCTCCTGCGCGGCCTGATGGCCGTTTAGCAAATGCATCTGGCCAAAGCTGTTGAGCAGCGCCATTTTCGTTTGCTTCAGAGCATGACGAAAACTGCCGCTGTTCATCTGCGGCGGCAGCTCGCTGCCGCTGGCCTCCATGTGCTCCTCGACGCGTGCCGGCAACGGTTCACTGGGCCTGACCAGCTCAAAGATCAGTTGCAGATTGTTGCTTATGTAAATGCTCAGCATAGCGGCGCTGCTGCCCAGCGAGACGAGATGGCATTTCTAGAGAGAATCAAAGTTGGATGATTAGTTGAGCAAATGTGCAGAACATGGCGAGCACGACTCACAGTTGTATCCTCGCCCGAATAGCGAGTCTCGTCGTCGTTCAGCTGCGTGTAGCTGCGATGCATTTGCTGACCCTTCACCTCTAGCCACAGCGACAGCGTTAGCCCATCCGGCTGCCAGAGGCGCGTCTGTGTCACGGGCACAATGCAGGCGGCGCGAGTAAACAAGGTAGTGGCCTGGCAGCGCTGATGTTGGAGGCGCACGCGTTCAATTTGCTCACTGATGAAGGGATCCGCTGTGATGACAATTTTGCCGTCGATGGTTATGGGAAACTCGAGCTCCATGCAGGGCTGGGCACGGCGCAGGCTGCCAGCGCAAATGTGGTGCATGTGACGCATCAGCAGCTCCACTGGCGGCTGTTTGCTGGCCAAGATGCTGAAGTAGCAGTTGAGCACATCGGGCGTATTCAGATGACTGATCAGCTCCAATATGGATTGCTGCAGTTCTGCAAATGCAAATGGGGAGTTTAATAAAAAGGAATCACTTTCTTCTGCTACCGCTCACCTCGCAACTTGGCATCACTGCTGCTGAGCACGGGTGCAAATCCTTGCAGCAGACACAGGGGTCCGCCCAGATAGTCGCGTATGACAAACAAACGATTGGCCAGCTGTGTAAGACTCTCTGTCCAGCCAGATGGCTGGCGCATGCACATCACCGATAGCTCCACTAGCATCTGAACCACCAGCTGGCTGAGGCCTTCGTGCATGATGTGGCTGCGGTAGCGTGAGGAGGGCTGAAATGGCGTCCATGATTCGTTGGCAGCGGCACCGCCGCCATTTAGTTCGCATTCGGATTCGCTCAGTTCGGCTATTTCGCCATCCGCCTCGTAGCCCTCGTCGGCGGTCAGATAAAACTCCTGCTCGTTCTCGCTCAGCTCCAGCTCGCTGTCGGCGGCACAGCTGAGCGAGGCGCGCGTGGAAAAGTAATCGGCGTCCCCGAGGGCCGCGTCACTGGAATTGGGTCGTCTGCGCGGCGTTGGCGGTGTGGCCAGCGAGTTTTTGGCCGGCAGCTTAACCGTCTGCGGTCTGGGCAGCTCCACGCTGCCGCTATTAAAAGAACGGGCACGTGGTCGCGTCTGAGCGGAGACGCCAGTGGGGCTGTTTGCCACCACGCCAGCCGGCTCGTTGTGTGTGCTCGAGAGCTCGGCAATTTTCAGCAGCGTTTGCAGCGTCTGTATTACAGCATTGTCCCGGGCATGCTGCTCCCCATGCTCCGACCAGTCACTGGAGGCGTTGCTCAATATGATGGCTTTCAGTTTGCGCAGGTGCTTCTGCATCTTCTCAACTGCAACAACGAAATGAAAGAGAATTGCCGTTGATCAAGAGATTCGAGCTGCGAGATACGAGCCAGATTTAGATAAGAAACAGCCAGATTCTCGTGGTTGTGTCTTATCTTGGGAAAACATCGACGGCGCCGGGGATGACACGACTTCGTCAGCGTTGGCCGAGCGCCAAAGCAAAAGTGCCGTCTGCCTCTGTCGGAGCGTGTGGAATGCTCGGCTATCCATGTCACACCCACACACACACACACACACACTCACACACACACAGTCAGAGAAATTCAATCTCGTCTGCGGCCAGATGCGAGCGTTTTAAGCGCCCGTATTATGGCTAAGTAACTCAGCGTCTGCCCGACTGACTGACTAACTAGCTGACTCGCTGACTAACTGGCTGACTGGCTTATAATTAACTCTTGGGCCAACCACAAAGCACCGTTATTAGCTTTACAGCCACGTCGACGCCCCGCTTCCACGGCCTAAGCTTGTGTGTGTGAATGTGTGCGCTTTGTTCTCGCCCCAGGGGCACTGCTAAGGCTTCACCTCAGCCTTAGTCGACACTGTCGATTGCATTGGAAACGTATTAGCCGCGGAATGTGACTGAAACAAACGGAACCAAAGAACTGCAGATCTGAGCTGTAGCCATAGAGCTTCCAAGATGACCTGCACAGGCATTGCAATCAAAGCTGCAAGCCGGTTCGAAACGAAAAAGAAAAACTTTAATCTGAAGCAAACCACTTTTACGAATAAATAAAAAAAAAACACAAATTTTTTTATATGAGATAAGCAAAAATATTAAAGAAAAGCTTTGTGAGAACAAAATGTAGTTAAAATAAATGTAGATAGCATACGCTTTAACCCAGCTTATAGTTTGAACCAGCTTGCTGCCTTGATTTTTCACATTTATGAACAAAAACAAATTCATTTTAAATATACAATTGCCCGCTGTACTGAAAATATTGTGAGTCGTATATATTTTCATATGCAAAATGCGGGCTACATTAGATCTCTACCCAAAATTAACATCTACCAAAAATGGTTTGATAAAGGAAAAGATTGGGTCCAAAGTTAGTTAAGCTTTAAGACTAGATTTCGAAACAAATGCACTAGAAAACCTAATAAAAACTGAAGGTTGGCAGCTATTCTTGGTGTGGAAAATGTAGAAAAATCTACAAAATATAACAAGCCCTAAACTTAAGCCCTATGTATCTAGTTTAACTTCTCATATATGCCATAATTTCATCGAGTCAATATGCCCTGCCTATGGGGGTAGGGTATGTTGGGCCACGTCCATTCTTCAAATCACGCTGACTTTAAACTTACCTTCTTCGTTCTGAAAGCCCTTGATGCATATGGCCATGGTCGCCTCGAAGAGTTTCAGCAGCAGTTTCTTGCACTCCCCATTCGGCTCGTAGAGGCACAACAAATCTGCATCGATGTCCATGACGGGCTCTGGGCTGGCACGTCTTTCGGGGGAGCCACCGATGCCCCCAAACAGCGAGCCCACAATATTGAACAACTTGCTAATCAGCCCGGCCGCGGCCACCTCATCCTCTGCGAGCACGCTGGAGAGCGCCAAATGGGTGGAGGTAGGCACTGGCTCAATGCTGTTGTTGTTGCTGTTACTGTGGCTGGGATTGCTTCCGCGTATGTCAAAGAGCACAATACTCTCGTCTGGTTGGCTATTCTGCAGGTGTTGCAGAAAGGAAGACAATGCCGGCTGCTCGGCGTAATTGTTTATGATTGATGCGTAGTCCAAGGAGGAATCTGCGTAGTCCGAATTAGTAGCAGTCGTCGTGGAGGCTGACAGCGCACTGAACGGCAGCTGTACATGCGAGACGAGCGTTTCCAATGAACTTGAGCCACGAATGGGCGACGTTCTCGTCAACGGTGACGGCGACGGTGTCTCTGGGGTTGCGGTTGCGGTTGAGAGTGCGGCGATTGCGGCTTTGGGCAACATTAGGAAACAGCCAAGCGCATTGTAGTTTAGCTTGAGTATGTCGACGATTGTCTTATCGCCATGTCGCAGCTTCTCCTCCTGTTCCAGCTGCTGCTGTGGCTCCTCGTCTTCGTCAACAGTCAATTCCACGGGTATCGAGTAGATTTTCGCAAACTCATTGTAGAACAATTGACTGGTCTTGAGCAGTTCATAGTTAAGCGTCCACTGGAGTGCCGTAATATATAGTATATCCACGGGCTTATGCCCAGCCAGCAGCGCCGTGTTGGCCGTCTCTTCCAGCCAGAATTTGACATGGGAGCGCTTGGCGCATCTGTGGAGCAACGCCTGGAACAACCGCGAGGCGCGATCGCTGCTATTAAGCTGCAACTGTATGAGCCGCCGGCTGAGAGCAATCTGCTCGTGTCCATTGTCGCCCAGAAAGGCAATGTTATCGATGCCCACCTTGATCAGATCACAGACACCGCGTTGCAGCTCGGGCACACACAACAAATCCTGCATATAACCAATGTTCTCCTCATTGTAGAAGGCCTTGATGAGCCGAATGTCGCTGAGGTACATCACAAAGATGCTGAGGCATTCATGTAGGATGCGATAATTATCCAGCTTGCAGGGCAGCTGCAGACGTGGCAGCTTGTGCACTGGATTCGTCTTGGTCTTGCACTCGCTTAGCTGCTTGTATTGCCGAAAAACGGGCAGCACCACTTCGGCGAGAAGGCCAGCTGCCAGATCGTACGACAACAAATAGGCAATGTGCTTCAGATGCTTCAAAAATAGCAGCATTGAGGTGCTATTCATCAGTGCACGATAGTTATCTCTGTATATGCCCAGAAGTTGTATATGAAAAGCTGGCGACTTGAGTTTCTCCTCGCAGACGGCACAATGCTGTGGCGAACGCTTCACAAAAATGGTGTGCAGCACATTGTAGTGGAGAAACTTGTAGGCGCACTTCTGATAGCTGCCAGAGAGTTGGGTGGCCAAGCGAAGGCAGGTGGCATAGTTGGCAGCATTGTAGTGGCAGCAACAGCTGCCGGTGCGCAGCAGTGAGCGCACGCTATGCTCCTGCAGCTCTGGCACCAGGCTGGGCAATAGCTTATACAGTTTACCCTGGAAGTAACAGCTGAGTGAGTGCTCCGTGCAGTGCAGCTGGCTGTACCGTTGTCGCTTGTGGCGTGGCGGCTGCTGCTGTTGCTTGACCAGAGCGCTGGACGTACTGCTCTCCATTAGGCATTGCTGCTGCTGTTCCTGGCGCGACAAATGGTCAGTGAGGCGCAGCAGGAGCTTGTAGATGTGCAAAAAGAGCAATGATGTGCTGTTGGTGGATGTGGCCGCCTCTTGCAGCACATCAAAACAGTTGTCAAAGTGCTTCACATCGATTTGGCTTAGCTGCTGAGCGCCAAACTCCACCAGATTGTGCAGCGTGCCAAACATTATATAGAGCACAGCATGGGAGAGCACCGAACAGCTCCGATTGGCAGCCAGCGCATACAGCAGTTGACTGAAGTTGCTATTAAAGTCTAAGAAGCTGGGCGTCTGCTGCTCGTGTATGTAGAAATTGTTGACACACTGTGCGATTAGCTGGAGCAGCTCAAATTTAATAATCTCATCATTGCCGCCGACCGGCTCCAGTTCATCCACGCAGCCGCTGCACAAATGTCCAAGTGCAAAGTTATGCACAGTCACGCTCAGCTGTGGCTCCTGCTCCGCATCAATGCAGCGCGTGAGTAGCTGAATGAGCAGCAGGGCCAGTTCATCACTTGTTTTGCAAGCGCTTTTGAATTGCTCAAAGCTGTCGAGAATCTTCACAGGGAGTCGTACTTGTTGCTGAGTCTGCTGCTGTTTTTGTTGCTGCTGCAGGTGTTGTTGCTGCAACTGCTGCTGACGTCGCGTTTTGCTGCGCTGTGAGCTCAGGTGAAAGCCGGCAATGAACTGGGCAATACTGGTTAGCGGCTGCAGCGACGCATTTGTGGCGCTCCATTTGCAATTGGGAAACAGATTGATGCACAACTGGCAGAGGCTCTTCTGAGAAGCAATGTGCTGCAAAGGGCAATAACTGATAACAATGATAATGCTAACTAAATGCTTCTAAGCGTCCCAGCACTTGCCTTGATTTGCACGCGCAGCAGAAAGGCGAGCAAATGTTGACCCAATCCGTTGGTAAGAAATGTTCGCAGCGCCAATATCTTGTTGCAATCGCTGGGCGTGCTCAGTATAAGCTGCAAAATATGTAAAATGCATTAATGAAGCGTGAAGTTCTGTTTTTATATATGTGCACCCACCTGCGCCAAGTTGTGCTGTTTCCGAAGCTGTTTGATGCATTTGTCCGGCTGTTCTGGCAGGTCATGCGAACTGCGTTTGGCCGCGCTGATGATTTGATACACCTGCTCCAGCAAATAGGAACACAGCTCCTCGGGCAGGTGATTGAAGTGGCTGCAATGTACGACAATTGAGCTAGCTGCTCCCTGACTCCATCCCGCTGCACTCACCTATTAAACTGCGCATCTTGCAAGGTTTGCTCGTCCAAGTACTGAAAGTTATATAGCAACAGCCAGAGCCAGTGTTCCTGCAAGCGAAGCTGATAACGTTGACGAACGCTGCTAGATTGGGTTGGTATCCGAGTTGCATACAAACCTTGACACTCGCTGCCGCCTGGTTATCATCTGCCTCAGAGTCTGAGGCGTGCAGATAATGGCTCCAAAGTCTGTTCAATGTATGCAGCAGCAGTTGGCGTTGCTCCTCCTCCTGCTGCTGGTGTTCGGTGGCCATGACAAGACACACGATCCCCGCTGACTGCTGCTGTTGCTGCTACTGCTACGGCTTCTGCTACAACTGCTACCGTCTTCTCAAGCATCGGACAACGTTGTGGCCGCAATAAGCGCTGGAACAGAACTGAGCGAAAGGCAATATATTAGCGATTGGCTGCCAGCTGTAATTAAACAAGTAAATTATGAGTATAAGTATTTAAGTGCATTTGTGTGTAAATATGCGTGCGTGCGCGAGGGCGAGCGGGGTAAGCCGAGGTAGCGGGAGAACAATGCATCGTTTGCTTGGTGTGATTACTTGTGGCAGCAGAAAGACAGAGGCCGGTGAAGCTGATTATTTGGACGAGCGACAATGGAAACTTTTATAGTTGTTGTTGTTTAGCCACTGCAGGAAAACTATTCGATTTGCTATTTATAGACATGTGCCATTGGGCGTTGCGTTCTGTTGTCAAGCGAATCCAAAGCCGGTGTTTGTTGGCGCGCGGGGTATTTAGTGGAAGGTGGGGGGTGGCTCGCAGCCTCCCATCGAGTAAACAGCTGGCAATGATGCGTGTCTTTAACGGCCAATGCACGCAGCGCGGCGATAAGCGTCGAACTAAAAGCAACGCCGACCGCAACTTCATCAATAGAAAGTGCATAATTAACGAATTGGCCGATCAGCAATTAAAAAGTGCGCTTATCGGACAACGACAGCAACAGCAGCAACAACAACAAAAGCGACAATTGGCATGTAAACATAAAAAAGTTCACACCGAACATGTCCAATTTTTAAACTGCGTAAATTGCTGCTGACGCTTGTCATGAAATAGACACATAAGTATGTTTGTGTATTTATACATAGTATATAATAGCACAAAATCAACAGACCTTACACACCAACAACAAAAAAAAAGAACGAAATAAAAAGTACCGAAAACCACAGGCAACAACAATTTAGTACGCCATTTTGGTTTTAAGTGTTGGCTCACTACACTTGCTTATATATTAAAGCAATTAGCGTTTTTTTATATTTTAAACTTTGGATTTAATGCGCTGAGTTCTTTTTGTGTGCGTCTATTGTTATAAACAAAACCGTTTTGAAAACTGCTTTGTTATTGCAGAAATCAGCTGTGCCCGATAGTTCGATTAATTTGCAGTAACGATGTATCGCGTGGTTGAGCGTATCGTTCACAATAATCGATAGAAGTGTGTGCGCCCTGTTAAAAGCATTTTGGAAAATGTTAATGTTGTTGAATGCTCCCAGGTGTCAGTGCTGGGTTTCATTCGATCGCGGTTGGGCTTGGGATGCGAAATTCGCGTAGAAATTGATTGTTAAAGTGAAAAGTTTATTAGTTAAAGTGTAAACAAACTAAATTTATCAAAATGATGCGTAGATTAATTGCATGTAATCGCCTGGGCAGCAGAAACCCAACGTTCAAGGTGAGCAATTTACAGACACATATGCAAACAGAAAATATCAACTATAGGTGTATTACAAAAATAACGTAGAAGATACTTTTCATGGATACTCTTGATTGTGTGTCAGAAAATACTGTATATGAGCTTATTTGTTGACGACTTGTCTAAAACCGGGTATTTGCGAACAACTTGTTGATATGCCAAAAACAAACAAAAAGTAATAAAATTGTTGCAGTTGAGATTCATAGATAAGCGTGTTAGGGCCTGCCTAGCTGAATAGCTGCTTTGATAAGCGGTAACTTGATTGTCAGTGCCCCACGCGAACTAGGTCCTCTGCTCTTTTCACCCCCCACACGCGCGATTAATCTAATATATAGACATTTAACGTATGTTTTGCACAAATAACATAGAACACGCGCACAATCTCTATATACGCTAATCGTGACAAACTAGTATGCAAATTTATGCTGGAACTTTAAGTAATTTAAACATCGGATCACCCACTTTTAGCTCATTGCCTGCTATTCAACCTCGGGTAAACAGCGCCAGGGCAAAATCTACGAGTCGGCCAGCGATGCGGTGGCCGATGTTAAGGATGGCTCAAAAATACTCTTTGGCGGCTTTGGCATATGCGGCATACCCGAAAAGATGATCGATGCCCTCAAGCAGAAGGGCGTCAAGAATATTACAGCTGTGTCCAACAATGGCGGTAAGAAAACCAGAGTATTTTGACACTTGATCGTTATTAGCTGCTTAAACTGGTTCTCTGAATCGTAAACCAACTCTGTCTGTTTACTTACACACACAACTGTTTCGCCAATTGTTTGTAAGGTTGCCACCCATTGAAAATTTGATATGAGCTTTCAGTACTTTTAAATCTTCTGATCAGCTATCTTCCTTATCTGCAGGTGTTGACGACTGTGGCTTGGGCGTGCTAATTAAGCAGAAGCAACTTTCCAAAATAATTGGCTCGTATGTGGGCGAAAATACTGATCTGGTGCGTCAGTACCTGGGCGGTGAGCTAGCCGTAGAGTTGACGCCTCAGGGCACCTTGGCGGAGAAGATACGCGCAGGTGGTGCTGGCATTCCCGCCTTCTTCACGCCCACTGGCTATGCAACGCTGGTGCAGCAGGGCGGCGCACCCATCAAGTATGACAAAAATGGAAAGGTGGATGTTGCCAGCGTAGAAAAACCCGTGCAGTCCTTCAATGGTCGCAATTATGTCATGGAGGAGTCCATTTTCGCTGACTTTGCCTTCGTCAAGGCACAAAAAGCTGATCCGTTAGGCAACCTTGTGTTTAACAAGTCTGCGCGCAACTTCAATGCGCCCATGTGCCGTGCCGCAAAGATTACTGTAGCCGAAGTGGAGGAAATTGTGCCTGTGGGTGCCCTTTCGCCAGACGAAATTCACGTGCCTGGCATTTATGTCAAGCGCATCTTCAAGGGCACCAACTACAACAAGCGCGTTGAGCGTTTGCGGATTACAGAGCCCAAGGAGAACGGCAAACCCGCTGCCGAGCCCACTCCTGCCCAGCTCCTGCGCGAACGGATCGCTCGTCGTGTGGCACTGGAGTTCCGTGATGGCATGTACGCTAATCTGGGTATTGGCATTCCAGTACTCTCATCCAACTACATACCGGAGGGCATGAACGTTATGTTGCAGTCGGAGAACGGCATCTTGGGCCTGGGTCCGTTTCCCACCAAGGACAAAGTTGATCCCGATTTGATCAATGCGGGCAAGGAGAGTGTCACTGTACTGCCAGGCGCTGCTTATTTTGGCTCGGATGAGAGCTTTGCCATGATTCGTGGCGGACACGTTGACCTGACCATTTTGGGCGCCATGGAGGTGTCGGCAACAGGAGATTTGGCCAACTGGATGATACCCGTAAGTATGATCAGCTGGATTTATTTGGGAACCTACTTCTACATTTATATTTAATTACAGGGTAAGCTGGTAAAGGGCATGGGTGGCGCCATGGATCTGGTCGCAGCACCCGGCACCAAAGTAATTATTACCATGGAGCACAATGCACGCGATGGCTCACCAAAGATCCTGGAGAATTGTTCGCTGCCGCTGACAGGCAAGGAAGTCATCGATTTGATTATCTCGGAGAAGGCAGTGTTTCAAGTGGAGAAGGGCGTCGGCATGACATTGCTGGAATTTGCCGAGGGCTACACCGTGGATGACATAGTAGCCTGCACTGGCGCCAAGTTTACTGTCTCGCCGAATGTTAAGCAAATGGCACAAATTGGTTGCAATTAGAAGGCTATTTAGAAATACTTGTGCGGTACTCAGGTGATATATTTGTGCATTTATTGTTATTGAACGTTAAACAATATTCGTTTTTATTACCATTAAAGTGTAAAGATGTTTATTGAATTGTATTTGCGGCGCCTGGAAGTAAGCCGCCGTATATCGCGTACTTGTGCATATTTGTAAAATTAATCGATAGAAGTGTCTGCTCGCTGTTAATAACATTTTGGAAAATGTTAATGTTATGGGGTAACCACAGGTGCCAGTATTGGCTTTAGTTTGATCGCGGTTGGGTTTTTGGTGCGAAGTTCGAAAGGAAAATTATTATTTTTAAGAGAATATTTTATTAGTTAAACTGTAGTCAAGGTAAATTCAACAAAATGCTGCGTAGTTTAATTGCGTGTAACCGTATTGGCAGCAAAAGCCCAACTTTCAAGGTGAGCGAACCAAAGAAACATAAATACATAATGCCAACTGTAGATACGTTACAATAACTACAACCTTCAAGATACTTTTCATTGATACTCTTAATTTTGTGTTGGAAAAGGAAAAACTTCTGCTCATTTGTTGATATGACACAACAACAAAACTAATTGAACTCCAACCACATGTTAATGTGCTGAAAATAAAAGTAAAGTAATAATAATGTTGCAGTTGAGATTGATTGATAAGCATTCGGGGCCTGCCTGGCTAGCTGGCTGCTGCCGCCCAGATAAGCGCTATTTTGATTGCCATCGCCCCCGCGCCAACAAGGCCCCTGCCCTTTTCACCCCCATTCCTCCTTCGGCACCATTCCAACTAACACGCGTGTTCAATTTAATAAATAGACAGACCTTACGTAACGCAGAACACGCACACAATCTCTAATAGCGGCAAACAAGTTTGCAAATTATACGCTGGAACTTAATTAAATTAATTTAAGCACCTGATCACCCATTTTCAGCTCATTGCCTGCTATTCGACTTCGGGTAAGCAGCACCAAGGCAAAATCTACAAGTCGGCCAGCGATGCGGTGGCCGATGTTAAGGATGGCTCCACAATACTCTTTGGCGGCTTTGGCATATGCGGCATACCCGAAAAGATGATTGATGCCCTCAAGCAGAAGGGCGTCAAGAATATTACAGCTGTGTCCAACAATGGCGGTAAGAAAATCAGAATAATATGCAACTTCCTATTTAGCGCTTGCGTAGTTTCCTGGTTTCCTGGTTCACGAACCAGTAACTGCATCGCACAACGGTTTTGCTAATTGATTGCAAGGCTGCCACCCGATTTACAATCGGCTGATTTAAGCTTTTAGAAGTTTTCAAATCTCCTGACCTGATACTTCATATCTGCAGGCGTTGACGATTTCGGCTTGGGTTTGCTGATTAGGCAGAAGCAAATGTCCAAGGTGATTTTCTCGTATGTGGGCGAGAATACCGAATTGGTGCGTCAGTATCTGGCCGGCGAACTGGCCATTGAATTGACGCCCCAGGGCACCTTGGCAGAGAAGATACGCGCAGGTGGTGCTGGCATTCCCGCCTTCTTCACGCCCACTGGCTATGCAACGCTGGTGCAGCAGGGCGGCGCACCCATCAAGTATGACAAAAATGGAAAGGTGGCCGTTGCCAGCGCCCCAAAGCCCGTGCAGTCGTTTAATGGTCGCAACTATGTCATGGAAGAGTCCATTTTCGCTGACTTTGCCCTCGTCAAGGCAAAAAAAGCTGATCCTCTAGGCAACCTGGTATTTAACAAATCTGCTCGAAATTTCAATTCGCCCATGTGCCGTGCCGCAAAGATAACTATCGCCGAAGTGGAGGAAATTGTGCCTGTGGGTGCCCTTTCGCCAGACGAAATCCACGTGCCTGGCATTTATGTTAAGCGCATCTTCAAGGGCACTAACTACAGCAAGCGTATTGAGCGTTTGCGGATTACAGAGCCCAAGGAGAACGGCAAACCCGCTGCCGAGCCCAATCCTGCCCAGCTCTTACGCGAAAGGATCGCTCGTCGTGTGGCGCTGGAGTTCCGCGATGGCATGTACGCCAATCTGGGTATTGGCATTCCGGTGCTCTCCTCCAACTACATACCGAAGGGCATGAACGTTATGCTGCAGTCGGAGAACGGTATCTTGGGCCTGGGTCCGTTTCCCACTAAGGATCAAGTCGATCACGATTTGATCAACGCGGGCAAGGAGACCGTCACTGTAATACCAGGTGCTGCCTTTTTTGGCTCAGATGAAAGTTTCGCCATGATCCGAGGCGGACACGTTGACCTGACTGTTTTAGGCGCCATGGAGGTGTCGGCAACAGGAGATTTGGCCAACTGGATGATACCCGTAAGTATGTTCAGCTGGATTTATTTGGGCATCTACTTATGCCTTTCTATTTAATTGCAGGGCAAGCTTGTGAAGGGCATGGGCGGTGCCATGGATCTGGTCGCAGCACCCGGCGCCAAAGTAATTATTACCATGGAGCACAATGCACGCAACGGATCGCCAAAGATTCTAGAGAGCTGCTCGCTGCCGCTGACAGGCAAGGAAGTTATTGATTTGATAATCTCGGAGAAGGCAGTGTTTGAAGTGGAGAAGGGTGTCGGTCTGACATTGTTAGAGGTTGCCGAGGGCTACACCGTGGATGACATAGTAGCCTGCACTGGCGCCAAGTTTACAGTCTCGCCGAACGTTAAGCAGATGGGACAGATCTCCGTTTAGAGTCCATACAGGAGGCTATTTAGAAATAATGCTCAGGTACACAACGCATCTACCTCAGGAAATAAGTATTTGTGCATTTATTATTATTGAACGTGAACCAATAGTCGTTTTTATTACCATAAAAGTGTAAAGCTGATTTTGTAATTGTTGTAATTTTTGTGTCTGGAACTCAGCCCATGGCCTTGGCCATGTTCTTCAGTGCATCGGATCGGTGCGCCAGGCGCATCTGTTCGTTGAGAATGTCAAAGGTGCGATTGTATTTGCTGCCGGACTCGTTGCGACAGATGGCGCAGAACTGCGAGGAGAGCACATGGAGAGGGCTGCGAAAATATAGGTTCTTCTGCATGGTCAGGGAGTTCTTATAGTGGGACAGCATGTGCAGACTAATCTCCAAAATGGACATCAGAGCCCACAGGAAGAAGTTCCAGCAGAACAATGTGGGAATTAGGAAGAGCAGGAAGGAATTGCGCTCATAGCCCAGTATGATGTTCTGTAATTGGGAATATAATCGAAATGTTAGTTTATAAAGATCGAAGGAACCGTAAAGCTGCGGCCAACTTACGCTACTGACGCCATCCATTTTGATGTAATCCTCGCGCTCATAGCCGGGCGTTATTTTCTTGAGCTTGTCCACATTCTTTGTGGCGCCATTGCCAATAACATGCTTGGCCGTTATGTCCCAGTCGCCGTGATGTTTGTTGGCCAGCATTGTGTCCACCTCGTCACAGATGGTGCCACGCAAATATTGCTTCGGCACGTGAAAATTTCCATGCTTGCGATAGCGCACTTTCATCTGATCGTGGACGGGTTCGCCGGTCTCTTCATCGTATTTGGGCTGCTTGACGCGTGCGGAATCGGTATAGAAATACTCAAACTCTCCGGTTTCGCTATTCTGGAATGAATATTAAGATAGGCTACCATATTAAATACACAAATATGACAAGCAACATGCTCGCCTAGCGGAGAGAATAGGCGAGAAATTGATGGCTACTCAAGTAGTTGTTAACTAATGGAATTAACATTTCAAATTGTTTTCTATTGATCTGAACTTTTTGCACTCTCCCTGTCACACCATAGAGAAGCGACAGCAATTAAATTGTTGCTATATTATTTGTTTGTTATTGTACCAAAAATAGACGGACTAGCTTTTCTGATAAGACGGGGTAATCGTTGCCGCCGATACCGTCTACTCGATGGACAAGTGATTCATATAGGACATGGCACATTATAATATTAGGCGTAATATATTCGAATGTATACGAAATAATTTCACATGGTATACACTTCTTACCACTAACATGTTTGGCTTGACACTAACCTTAGCTAGAATTCGGTTTCTTGTGTGCTCGACAATAATAATAATAATAACTTATCGCTATCAGCGAGACTTGAGATAGGCGCTTTGTAGCTTATGAAATGTTTGAGGCTTATCATTACGTGTGCCATTAAGTTATAGTATTTTATATAGTCTCTAAGGTCTAGTGCTCCGATGAGCTACGCCCATCAATTGTTACATATAGGAGAAAAATATTGGAATACTAGAAGAAATTTCCCCATTGCGGCCTGCCAAACAATATATATACATTCGACAGCAGTTGATAAAGTAAAGGAAAATTGCAAATGAAGTAAACAAATACAAAAAGCGTTTCGGATTTGAGCCGGCAACTTCTCGCGTGTTAGTTCGACGCTCAAACGTCTAAGCCAAGTATGAGCAATGCTTCTAAGCTCGCGTTGACGTAAAGCCCAATTGAAACGGAGCGCAAAAAATGGAAAATGACAACAAAATTGAATAATAGAGAACACGTTTTCTATAATGGTACGTACGATTAGTATAATTATTTTAGTATATGCAATTAAATAGTCTACTTGCGACCTGTCCTTACGAGTTATATTATTATTATATTACCTCTTATTAAAAAATCATGTTACGTTGTGGAAGAGCTGTTCTAGCTACGATTGATTGACTGACTGATTGATTGATTGATTGTGTAACTATCTTTTGTGATGCAAGTGCACGCACGCTAAGATGGTGGTTTGAAAAATTGGTATGCACATATTTTGTGGCCTGGGCAAAGCCGGGTGATACCCGCTAGTAAATGTATACTTATGTAAAATAACTTTGTTTATAATTTTTATATTTGTATTTCAGTTAGTTTACAGAGTGTTGTAAGAGAACTTAACAGATATGATTGCGTGTACTGCCCGGCTGCTACTTGAATACAATAATTTGATGACTACTCCATGATAGCACAACGCAATAATGTCGTTGTCAGTGTTATTGATATAGTTAGATGATAATCCATCGGGCGATAATTGCAGCAAAGCTTACACAGTGCCAATCATTTAGATTATCAGAGCTCTATATACGTCACGCTATAAGCTCCAGCTACGGAGAGCGAGTGGGTAATTAACAGGGGGTTGAATAAATCATTGCGAACAGCTTTTTGATAGATCTCATATAGAGTAGCTCTATCATAATTACAATGTATGTATGTAAAAAAGAGTACATCTAATGCCACATAGATCTATATTCGTATTTCACTCGATGGGCCCTGCAAACAGCGAGTAAAAGTCTAAAACAAGTTTTGCCAGACATCATTTGATGGCAAAAGTTTAGCCCAAAATCATAACACGTGTGGGTAGTTAAGGGGGGAAGGGGAGGGGGAAGGGCTACGATTTGGATGAGCATTCGTTGCTTACCTTTACGGAGTAAACCATAGTTGGCTGGATTTACTTTGTTGGCGTTTTCGCTGGCGCTGCTATTATTGTTATAATATGCGTTTGTTTTATTATTATTTGACACTATTCTTTTTGTTGTTGTTGTTGTTGCTAGTATTAAGTGTTGTTTACTGTTTCGCGCTGCGCTTGGGATTTTATCTATTTATTTATATTGATATTTCATGCCAAGCAAATAAATACACACTAACTGACTGCATCACATATATATAAATCACACGTTATTAGTAGAAATGAAATAAAAGTTAAGATCAGTTTGTTTTATAAATTTGTCACCGAACGTTTCACTTCACGTAAAAACATTGGGAAAATTTGTATGAAAACCGGTTAAGTGTGTTGTTGCCCGTTTTAACAGAGTTTAAATTCGATAAAATTACACATAAAACACATTAAATAACATATAGTGTGTTACTATACTATATATTAAAATAATTTAGCATTTTCTCTACCCGCCGGTCAGCTATTTTCATGCGAGCAACAACTTTGAAGAGAGGCGAGCGAAATCCACGTCTGTTATGAACAGCTTTTGAATGGAGAATAAGCGACAAAGCAACAAATAAAAACAAAAAAAAATATAGCTTGTGTAAATAATGGGCTATCAACTTATGTGGGCAGCACTAAAAATGAGACGACAAGAGAAAGCTTTCTATAAAATATGTGCCATCAAATGGATCGCTTGAAAGCTCCAAGCGAATTGGCAGCACTGCGCCAGAATTGCGGCAGCACTGAGGTTGTTGTGTTCGCTAGCGTAGCGAGCAGTCGGTTGCTGTCTTGGCTAAGGGCCATTAAAAGTGGCGTGTGCTTAAAAACTGTAATAAATATTAAATTTCTCAAAATCAAATTTTTGTTTTTTTATTAAAAATAATTTTTGTTTTAATTTGCATTCCTTATCAGTTTTAATAACGGTTTGGTTCAGTAGAGTTAATAAGACCAGAAATAACTGCAAATCTTAAGTTTTAACTGTTCGCTAATAGTTTGACGTTTGAATATGACGCTATTGGTTATTGATTTCAATTATAAATATATATCTTTTATATCTTATATAACGAGCACGATCAGCCGTTTTTATGCTCTGAGCGTAAAGCAGTTTGAGGTCTTCTGAAGGAAATCCTTATAGAGCCAGAAATCAGGTAGTATTTTACAACGTATATACTCCATTTACTTTGTGGATGAGTTACAAAACATGTACCAAGAAATCCATTAAGTTTTTAAATAAATTCATTATTGATTACAAAAATTAAACCGCAGCAAGTTCTACGCGGTAAGTTTGGTTGCTGTCTTGACTAAGGTCATAGTAACTTGCAAAAGTCTTGCTCGCGCAAAGCTTTAATCGCAGTTATTCGGCGAAAGCACTTTGAAACGATCTTAATTACAAATTCTGGATTTACGGGATTGACAAGTATGACATGTTTTTTTTATAATTTTATGTACATCCATCTATGTATATAAATGCATTTTTTGCGCTCTTTTCATTGTTTACCGAAATATTCGCCAACTTATTTTGCCAGATTTTTATTTTTATTTGTTTTCTAACGTGTTCCATTTGTTTCGGGGCTGTTGAGCTAATTTGACGTGCCTGGTTAATTTAGTAGCTGCGCGTTGGGCACTCGGTTTGGTTGTGCCGTTAATATAACTACCCACTAATATTTTGGACGTAAATCCTAGCCATAAGTCGAGTGTAGAGTGTATCTTTTTATCTTAATTGCCGCGTGTGTGATAAACGATTTATGTTTTTGTCGAGTAGCTTTAACAAATAATCTCTCGCTACCTTCGCCTGACAATGCAGTGAGTAAATCAGACAATCTAACTCAGAATTTTAAGTCATAAACTCTTAGCTAACTGATGGGTAAACAACGATGACACAAAACAACGCTCATAAATGAAGTCAGAGAGCGAAGCGTTGTGTTTTTTTCCAAAATAATGTTTTTCTTATTATTCTTTATTCTTTTTAAAAGTACATTTTTGTTGGATCAGCGCCATTTAAAAGACACTAATGATAGCTCTATGAAAAATTACCCATTTTTATTGTGCTTATAAACATTTACAATTGTTTTTGTGCCTTGGTGCACATTTATCAGCTAATAAATGCTGTCAGAACAGCGCTTAATAGCGATTCGAAATCGGCATTGTAAAAATCACTTATGTTATTGATATAATTTACTTTATCTTAGGAACCATATCAAGAATGAAACTGTGATCAGCACAGCCGGGGCAACAATTGATCCCAAAGATGACTACGATCCACAGGTGCATATCAAGAATGAAATTGTGATCAGCACGGCCACGGCAACAATTGATCTGAAAGATAACTATGATCCACATATGCATCGGAATGTTAAGAACCCAACCAAGTGAGTATCGAGTAATGAGTACTATTGGAGTATGTGTGATAAACAGGGCTGCAAGCTTAAGAAAACCTGGTGTTGGTTCGGCTCACAGTTTCAAACCAACTGCCTGCGTTCTAGTTAGGTTCTATATTTGATCTCTTAGATAATGCAACCTTTGTTATTTAGTTATTTATGCTTTGGGCTGGATCTACCTCAACATTTATTTATTTTAAGTTGAATTTGTTTAATGAACAACTGGTTTTGTTAAAGATTCAGGTTTTAGCGGAAAATAAATTAAAATTCCGGCTAAGCAGCGGTTCGGCCTTCAGCTTGGTTAGTTGCTAGTAAAATGTTTACTTTTTTAGCAATTGGCAAACATTTGCACACTTCCTGAAGGCTTCCATAGGCACCGGCGTGCTGGCCATGCCCAGCGCCTTTGCGCATGCGGGCTACGTCAATGGACTCGTGTTCACAGTTATTATAGGTCTGCTGGCCTTATACTGCCTGCACATCCTGGTAAGTCGAGCGAAAGTTTTAATTTATTTGTAGGTTTTCAACTAATTTCTTGCCAATTGCAGATTGACTGCATGTACATCCTATGCAAGCGTCAGCGTGTGCCTTATGTCAGCTTCTCGGAGGCCATGAAGCTGGGTCTGCAGCAGGGTCCCCCTTGTCTGCGTTGTCTAGCGCCGATTGCCGCGTAAGTTTGCGCAACCCAAGTCGAATATTTCACTTCTATGTTTGCTTTTTCAGGCCATTTGTGGATGGCTTTTTGGCCTTCTATCACTTTGGCATCTGCTGCGTCTATGTGGTCTTCATAGCGGAGAGCATTAAGCAGCTCGTGGATGAGTATCTGGTCGAGTGGGATGTGCGCCTGCACATGTGCCTTCTCATAGTTCCACTTTTGTTGATATTCAGCATACGCAACTTGAAGCTGCTAGCGCCATTCTCCAGTGCTGCCAATTTGTTGCTCTTTGTGGGTATGTCTGCCTAGGTGTGGTCACACCGTGAATATCTTTATCATATGCCTTACTTTCTTTCCAGGCTTTGGCATTGTCTTGTATTATATTTTGGTCGATTTGCCGCCGCTAAGTGAACGCGATGCCTTTGTGCATTATTCCAAGCTGCCCACCTTCTTTGGTACCGTGCTGTTTGCTCTGGAGGCGGTAGGCGTGGTAAGTTCTTGAACTGCATTAACCAGAGTAACAATTGGCTACATTCAGATTTTTAAATAGATTCTGGCCATAGAGGAGAACATGGCGACGCCTCGCGCCTATGTGCAGCCCTGTGGCATCATGAACTGGGGCATGTCCATCGTCTTGAGTCTCTATGTGTTCCTTGGCTTCTTCGGCTACTGGAAATACGGTGCAGAAGCAAAGGGAAGTGTTACGCTGAACATTCCACAAACAGAAATGTAAGTATCGCAAATGATAGCTCGGATAAAAAAGTTTTATTGTTGCTGTTTTGCAGTCTCGCCCAGGTGGTGAAAATCTTCTTTGCCATCACCACGTATATATCCTATGCGCTGCAGGGCTATGTCACGGCGCACATTCTGTGGACAAAGTATCTGAGCAAACGTATTGAGAATACCAAAAAGCATGCTTTCTACGAGCTGTGCTTTCGGGCGCTGATTGTGCTGCTCACCTGTAAGCCGAATGGCAAACATCGGAAATGGTGGCTATAGATTGATATATTTGCTATTTCAGTTGGCTGCGCCATTGCCATACCGGATCTGTCGCTATTTCTGTCACTCGTTGGCTCCTTTTGCCTATCGGTATTGGGTCTCATCTTTCCGGCGCTGCTGCAAATCTGTGTGCAATACGAGACGGGCTATGGACCAGCGGGCTATAGGCTTCTGGTCAATTTGCTGTTGCTGCTGTTTGGCATTTTTGGCGGCGTGGTGGGCACCTATGTCAGCATTGTGGACATTATCAAGTCGTTTTCAGGACAGCTAGCTTAAGCTAGGGCCATCTAACGTTTACATTTACCATTAAATACTTATGCTAATACCAATACACATAATTGAGTGGCTCGAGCAGAGCTCGCAGCAATGTTTGTGCAACGCGGCGTATGCGTAATCTAGCGTGGCCCTTGTGTGTGGCTTATGCAAATCATGTTGCGGCCTGTGTATGTCATCTGGGTGGCTGTACACCGTACACTGCACATTGTACACCCCCCCGTGCAGTTTGGTCTGCTAATTATTGCCGCCTGCGCACACAAGCCAATATTCGTGGGGGTCCCCCACTTGAACAAGGCCAGGTCAAAAGTCAAGCAGCAGCCAGGCCAGCCAGTGTCGAATTCTTTTAGCTTTAATTAAAAACCTTAGCTTTGCGGCGAGTGGGCCACGTGGCGCTGCAGGAATGTGAGTAGAGCTTCTAGTCCTGCCCGCCCGCCTCTCCCTGCAGGTGGTCAGACAGTCGGACATGCGGCAAATGCAACGAACTGTAATTAAATGCAACCGCAATTAACACAAAAGCACCCGCAGGTCAGAATGGCAGACACAGTGCATACCCTTACACACGCTCAACCGAATCATGGCCAGACTTGGCGTTGCTGCTCTCGCTCTGACACTCTCCTACGCTCTCTTTCTCGCCTCTGTATTTTATTTACAATGTTTTGCGCACAGGCTTCCGTTGGACTGCTCTCCAGCCCTTCTCCCTGCACATTCGTTGTCTTCTGTAGACCGCAATGTCCGCTGGCCATAAGAAGCTGCCCTAGCTTCCATGTGCACAGTACCAGAACGAGGGTTGTTCAGGAACAAATGATGGCCATTGTGTACCTTTTCTGCCAGCTATCGAGCCACCCTCGCATGTGTGTTGAATTGCCGTTTGCTTTGTACGTTTAATTACTCTTTTGACGGAAATAACACAACATTCGTTTTTAAAATGGCAACAAAATAGAAATTGCACAATTGCAGCCCGTTGACCCGGTGGCAGTTACCCCTCCAAAGCGCCCAAAAGCTGTGTGAAATGCAACAATATTTTTTGTTTCTTTTGTATGCCCTATCGGTGAGTATTATAATTCAGGCAGGTAATGTGTTACGTTTGCTGCGATGGCATTAAGTATACATAGAGTCAATCAGGACGACGAGCTGAGTCGATGTAGACATGTCCGTCTGTATGTTCGTCCTTGTGAACTAGGGACTAGAGATTTGAAATATATTTCCTCTTTAGCAATAAGCAGATAAAATGTATTTCTTCTTCTATTTCTATAATATTGATAAGTATCGATTTTAATACCTGTTTTTTCTTCGAGAAATACAAATTAAGTACGCCATAATTGGTATGTAGGAACACGTATGTCATGCAAAGATAAGGAATGTTTCATACTTTGAAGAGCTCCCCCTTTTCCCCTTAGAATTAAGAAAACTTTATTTCTAAAGATAGAGCCTTGCACCTTGGTATGTACATACAGTTGGTCGTCATATTTGGGGTCTGAAAACTTCATAAGAAACGGACTGTAAAAACCGAAGTTTTTCAAGACTTCAAAAAGTAAGGAACGATTATAGAGGCAGCGCTGTGTTCAGGGTATCCAGTAGTCGTGCACTCCCGCCTGTAGTACTCTAGCATGTTTTTTGAAGCGCTTAAATTTGCACAGCAGCTTTCTGACAATTTAAATAGCGATGAGAGTCAAAGACTTGACCATAGTTTGATTGGCTCCGGTTTGCAGTTGGCCGTTGGCTGCTCCTTGCCTGGGCAGCAGTTTCTGTAGAAAGAATCGTTCACTTTGAGCTCTGCCGGTCAAATTAAATGACAAGTTTACTTGTTTGCCAGTTGAGTTTCTAGTTGTTGTTGTTTTCGGTTGTTTTCGCTGTTGTTGCCCGTATTGCCATTGCGCTGGCATTTGAGTCATTTGCCGTTTGAGCATTTTAATTATATTTGTGCAGGGCAGCGCAAACTTGGCCCTCGACGCGGGCTTTTAGTGTTTCCGGCCAGTTGCCTCCACTGGGCACTACATGGGGCGGTAGGAAATTGAATTACGCACAATGCTAGGTAAACACATGGTCAGTGGATTTGATGTGAGGGAAAGATTTAGCTTTTGAAAAACGTATGGAAAATATGCGTAAAAGTTAATTAGAAAACGGCATGAATGCTAGCATAAATCTCATTTTGTCTCACTGTCGGCCAACTGTGTCTATTCAGTCTGTTTGTTGGCTCATATTGAGAATTTTCATCGCTCAGCTAAATTATAAATTATGAGCATAGTGCAAACTGTTCTATTTTCAGCTTGTTTGATCAAGCTCTTTCGCACAATATTCGTTTATTTTAATATGAGTATCTAATAAACGTGTATGCTTTTAGCTGCACACTTTCAGCTAAATCGGTAAACAGTTGCCGCCATTTATTGTACTTTGTATATATATTATATATATGTGCGTGGGTCTGGCAAAACAATGTCGAATATTGCTTGCATTTTGTACAAATTTGCAGCTTTTGTTTGCCAATGCGCTGTGCAAACGTTTTTCGCAGACTTTAAAATTGTGTTGCATACTTTTTGGTTGCGGCTGCCTAAATTATGTATATCGAAAGCATTTATAAATTTGCTGGCCATATTTTAGTTTGCATATGCTATAAATTGGCGGCAAAGTTTGGGCTTGGCGGCTTTTGCTGATTAAGGGTGAAAACCAATTCTAAAATTACCCAAAAAATGGGCATATTTCCGCTGGAGGGGGGAAATAAATACATGTTTTGATATCTTATTAACCACCCAACAACAAAATAACAGCAAAAGCTGTCACGGGCACGTTATTGTGCATATAATACAAAATAAACTGCAATAAATTGGTTTTTCCCAACTATGTATTACATTTAATTCTGGTTTTTCACTAAAGATTTTAATTGCACAATAGTTGTTAATTTAAACAAAGTTTATAATTTATTGACTGTTTAAGAGTATTCAATATTATTTAAGCTTTAATTGCACAATAGTTGTCGATTAAAAAAGTTAGTAATTTATCGGCTGTTTAATATTATTAATACTTTCCACTTGAAGCAAAGCCACGAAGTTTTTGACTTATTTTTCAATTTCCAACCATTATATTAAAAAAAGCTGCTGGAATGAACAAAATTCGATAAAGTGATGAAATATCGATATCGGTATAAATTCGTTGTTCACTTGGACTACTTTAAGAACTAGGTCCTAATCAACGCCTTGATACATCCTGTGCACCTTTCAACACAAAGAAACCAAATCGTATTTAATAAATAAGCAAATAATATTCCCACAACTCGTAATAGGTGTGCTGGAAATTGGCCTAAAAATGAAATATTTCCAATGACTCAATACATTTGGGATTCCTTTGAGCGACTTTAAGCCTAGAGCTTATCTCGTTTCGAGGCTCACTCTAAACGCTCTCAATAACCTTTTGAACTCATTTAGCGTATGTGCTTGTTTAGTGCTTAATTTTCTCAAAAAAAGCGGTCTCATTTTTATTAATTTAAACCATTTTATTTGGTGCTACCGAGGGGTAAGGGGTAGGCAACAAATGCAGAGCGCAGTCGGTCGGCAATTTGTTTGGCTGCTTGAACCATCCGAACCAATGTGTGTGTGTGTGTTTGTGTGTGTATCGGTGTGTGCGGCAGCGAAAACGATTTATTTTACGCAACGCAAAGCATACACACGTACCTAGAATAACAACCAAAACAACAATAACAACAGAAAGCGACACAGAAATAGCAATAGCAATGCTGAGGGGCTTAAGTGTATTTATTTTTTGGCAGCATTTGGTCCATATTCCATGCAACAGACGCGGCTGCCACCTAATGCCATCAGCGGCCACAACAGACCATGGCGGCAGCATCGCGAGGCGTTTGCTATGAATAAATAACGAACCCACCGGCAATGCCAGCTCCAGCTGCTGATGAGTCCGCCGACATGGTGCTGGACGAGTACATGGCCTGGGCTGCATGTGATTTATGCTGAGAAAACATGTATGGCGAAATAGGCGCGGGCTTCAACACATTGATTGTTGCTAATGCGGCCAAAAGGGCGTTGGGGCCGCGCTGTGCATAATTGTGGCCGTCACTTTAACTTTGGCATCAGCGCGATAACACACACGTAAACACATGTGTGTGCGAGTGTGTGCTTGCGTGATAAAAGGGTCCACACTCCATCGGGACATGTAGGCAGCAGCTGCCTTGTGGTCGCTGCAGGTGCGTTAAACATTTATGAGCGCCAAAAACGCAGATTTTATTGAGGCAGTTTCGGTGTGTGCCGCAAAAATTGTTTATAAAGGCCAAATGCATAATTCATAAAGTTAAAGTGAACCCGTTCGGTATACGCAATAATCATACGCCATGCCGCACAGCAGCAGCAGCAGCAACAGACTCCTCGTTTTGCATGCCCTTCGTGTTGTGCTATTTAACGAATTGCCGCCGAGGGAGGCTTATTAGCTGCATATGAGATTTTGACATTGACTAAAGCCATGAATTATTACCCATATGTCTGGCCAGGTACAGCTAAAAGAACGAGCACTTAAAATTCATTGGTTCTGCGGAAAAGTTTAATAGCGCAGATTTTAATATATATATATATATATATTTATATTTTTCCATGGTGTAAAATATAAATGTATGAAACTATATTGACACCAGCTTGGACTTGGTTTATTTTAATATAGGACTTAACTACGACCTTATGTATGCGTTAAACCTTTCCTCAGCTTGGGCCCAGTTAAAATGGTGCTTAAAGAACCACACCCTGCTGGAAGCCAAACTTCGGAGTGGCTTCCATTGGCATTACATATACAAGTCAAGGACTTAACTTATTTTTGATCTGTGCTTGTGTTCTCTTGAACTTTCACACACTATCATGCACGTATAGACAAAGTTTTATAATAAATTATTTTCACAATTTTTGCATATTCTTAAAACTAATTGAATCAATTAAATTTCTGAAATGAAAGATATTCCAATAAAGCGCACGCATTTTACATTTGATTTTTTTTTTTTAATTTTTGAAATGCTTTTTGGCTC